GAGAGAGAGAGAGAGAGAGAGAGAGAGAGAGAGAGAGAGAGAGAGAGAGAGAGAGAGAGTATCTGTAAGACTGTAACGACTACCACAGATGGTCATACAGATGGTCCCACAAATGTCCCACGAATTTGGTTCCACATATTCTTCCACATTAGGTTCCCCAGATGATCACCCAGACGGTCCCACATATGTGCCAGCAATTTGGTCTCACTGATAGTGCCACCGATGTGCCAACAATTAGGTACCAGACACACAGATGGTCCCACAAACGTGCTAGCAACTTCGTCCCATAGGTCGTTCCTACAGATATTCCGACAGATGGTCCACAGATAGTCCCATAGATGGCCCACAGACGTGCCAGCAATTATCTGCCACAGATGATCACACAGACAGCCCCACAAATGTGCCAGTAATTTGATCCCAAAGATGCCCCAACACCTCTCTCCAGACCATGTTCACATATGCAGGCTTGCGCAAAGGGAACTGCTGTCCTGCTCCTCTGCTATTCTTTTGGTTTGTTTGAATCGTGTTCCCCTTTCTCCTCTTTTGCTTCATGACGCTGTTTGAGCACATGTATACTTCTGAAACGAATTGCGATATGTCAAAGGGAATGACACGACATCCAGAGACAAGGGTGCGTTGTATTCGAGGGAATGTCATGATGAGGGTGCGTTGTGTTCGAGGGAAGACAGTAACTTGTGTTGTCAAGTCCATATACTTATGATGAAGTGATCCCGTCTGCACCAGAAGACCTTCAATCTACTGCCTTCACCGAACATAACATACCCTGATTAATGGTGACTAACTAGGAGTGTATACAAACCATCTTTCGATTCCGATACTGTCATGACGAGGATGCGTTGTGTTCGGGGGAATCCTCTGGGCAACACTATAGTAATCATGGCTGCTCTGATGAAAATGGATGTGAATTTTTTTTTGTGTGGTCCGATGGACCACGGATCGGATATGCATACATGGATGATGATCGTGCGTGTGTTTGGGGATAGACGGTAGTCTTGTCTGCAAAGGGTTTTTTTTTTTTTTTTTTTATATGTGGCCCGATGGACCACGGATCAGATATTAAAAGGAGATTTTCTACAATCTGTTGGAAACTGAAATACGGGCCCAATGGAAGCAAGTCCGTGTGCAGGCCCAGCAAAACCCCTTGCAATCCAAAGACATAATACAAAACTTTCAGAAAAGGGTTTTGGTTCAACGCAGGATAGCAACAGTGGAAGGGTCGACGTTGAGTTTTCATTCCTTTGAGAGGCAGATAAGTTAAGCTGAGGTTGAAGGTAGGGAATAGGAGGGGACTAGGGTTTCGCGTTTACCAAAAATTCTGGGGAAGATGAAAACAGATAAGGCTCTAGGCTTCAAGGTCAATCTGAACAACACATGTAGATCTGGGACCCGGTTTCCAGCATAGGTCACACCTGGCTTAGGGGTTTAGGAAACGGGATCCAGTGGGCTTGTCTGAGATTAGTGCATGCTAGGCAAATCGGGACAAAAGGGAATCTGTCGCGAGCGGAGGCTCGCAAGCGAAACTGGGTAAGGCTCCCAGGATAACCCCGGGTTGAATTGTGAGGTCCCTGGCCTTGGCCTGTTTTTGGAATGAAACCAAGCATTTCTTAAAAATAAAAGAAAGTATTAAATTATAAAATGAAGAAGAGGGACTTACTGCTGCGTGTCTTGCCCTTTCTCTTCGCCGCTCTGCAGCTCCCGCTTGCTCTTTCCCAGAGAAAGAACGATTAGCATCCCTTAAAAAGGTAACGTTGATCTGTCCCACGGGACATCCCTTAAAATTTGAACGATACAGAGAAATGACCCCTGAGCAAGGATGACACACATGAATCGAAAAAAAAAAAGGTTGATCCGACGTCGAAAAGACAAAATGACTCATCATGAGGATTTTTTTTTTTAA